GGTAAGCCTATATACAAATTCTAGTAACCAACTTATACCTCTGCAACTTAACTACAGACAAATAACAGGCATAAACAGCAAACAATATCCTTAAAACCTGCCTAACTAAATATGAGTGTTATTCGAGGAGCCAAGTTATCAGACTCCAATTATAACACAACGCTGGGCGGGTTGGAACCGTTGTCTTCCGTTGCATAAGAAGCAGGAATAATACCTCTCAGCCAGTTACTGCTCAGCTCCTTACAGAAATTTTACTATGAAAACACTTAAATTTGCTGACACAAATTTCAAAAGCACTGTACAATATAAAGACTATAATAATAGAACCAGTATTATTTAAAATGTCTAAATAATACATAAAAAATAATAAAACTCATTCCAGTTTTCAGTTGAAAGCTAATTATTAGAATATACACCATTTTTTTTTTTTTAGATTTTCAAATTTTATATTAGGTTGAAATATAGGGACAATCCAGGTCAAAGGGTGATATTGGATAACTCACACATGAACAACAATATATATATATATAAAAATCTTTGCAATATTACAGTACATAAGATAGTCTGGGTTAATGGCTACACTCAAGCCCTACTTAGAATTAAATGAAAAAAACTTATAGGCTTTTTGTTATTCTTTTCTAATCATTGAATAAATTCATCTGTTTTCAATGATCCTATGACCATAACTTTCATTTTAATGTTGAAACAGTATCGTGGGAAATAGACTTTAATCTATGTTTCAAGTGCTATCAAAACCTTTTTTTCAAGGTTGAAGGTTGAAGGTTTTTTAATTTGTTTCTACAAATGCTTTGTTATTCAAATATCATAAAATAATGTTTTTATCATACATAAAATAAAACTGAGTATGGAAGAAGGCTTTTTTTATTAAGTCCGCAACATGCTTAAAGCTGGGCCTTATTTCACTGTGTTGTACAATGGTCGTATGGCCGTGGTACATACAACCATCCTATGAAGAGCCCAACTCCGCTCCATGTGAACACTAGACGACGCGATGCCGCAGTGTCGGTGGCAGTCTGAACGAATTGTCATTAAAAACTATCGGTTGTGCACGCGTTGTGGCATTGCGTTCTTCATAGAATCGTGTCGGTCGACGATTGTCGGACGGTGTGAGTGTGTCCGGATTTAGCCATAAGGTAAGTTCAGTTATGTGTACCTGGAACAAACTCTCTATTGATCGCACTGAGTTGAAAGTCGAGGGCTACTACACTTAAATATCTTAGGATCCCATGCCACAGTTATCAGGTATACAGTAGTTCTCATCAATGAGAACAGACAATTTGAAAGGTATATACTGTATGTAGCATGTATTATAATTATTATACAAGATATCTGTAATTGTGAGAAAAAACAATTTGACTCAGAACATATATGCCTCAAGCCAAGTGTTGTCAATTACTAGATGACACTTCCTAAATTTGTCAGACAGTATGGTACCAATTGGCCAACCAGTGTGTTCTCATTTGGCCTCAGAGAATGTTGTTAACTAATTGGTAACATATAAGATGTCACATCAGCATTTTGCAGGTTGTACTGCTCTAGAAAATTCTCCATGGATATAAGTATTGTGAACTTATCTGAACTGCAGGGCTTTGAGAGAACGCTGTGAATTAACACCGATAGACAATGTCGTGTTGCGCATTAGGCAATTTTATTTGCGTCTTTGTATTTTTGATGACAAAGGATGACAACTTATTAGGAAACATTGACGTTCCTTACAACAGGACTGCTGACCTGTAGACAGGCGGCCCAACTACATCGGAGAGTAATGATTCAGATAATTGGAATAAAGTAAAGCAAGTGAATAGAATTTCTTTCCCATCATTCCCAGATATTTTTCTGTCACCTAAACTTTTGAGAACTACATATTTTGACACAAAGAATTTGTAACTCTCTTGAGCTCTGTTAACACTATAAAGATTTGTGTGACAAATACAAGTGATTTTGCCCAAGATGATGTCATATCATACCCATATATGGTCAAATCACATTTATTAGTCAAAAAACATGAGGACAGAACACACATACAGAGCTACATACATATTTTAAATCTGTGGAAGGATGTTAGTCAGCTTTACCAACAACCACTTACACCTCCTTCATTTCAATTGCAATGATTTCAGCTTCCTTGGCACATGGTGGTGCAGTAGTTGGAGGATACATGCCTTGGTTAAAAAACTTTCTATGCTGATCTTAGCTTGTGTTACACACTTATGCCAATCTCCTTGTCCTTAAGATGGGAACTAAAGCAATTGGTCTATTATATACAATGGCTATTTTAGCAAAAGAGAACTCAGTCCACAATTTGGAAAAGAGTACAGATTTGTCTCCTGGTGTACTGGCTTTTTTGCTTTATGTCTCAGGCCTATGTGTAAATACTTCTGTATTAGTAAGGAGGGATTGTTGCTTAACGTAAAGACAGGGATACATAGACAATCATTGGTCTATTACGGCTAGGCCCTACATGTACACATTTAAACATGAACCCACCACCCTAACATCGAAAGACAAGCACCAGTTAACCTGTCTCTTATACACATCTAGATGTGTATAAGAGACAGTTTCTAATCATTGAATAAATTCATCTGTTTTCAATGATCCTATGACCATAACTTTCATTTTAATGTTGAAACAGTATTGTGGGAAATAGACTTTAATCTATGTTTCAAGTGCTATCAAAACCCTTTTTTCAAGGTTGAAGGTTGAAGGTTTTTTAATTTGTTTCTACAAATGCTTTGTTATTCAAATATCATAAAATAATGTTTTTATCATACATAAAATAAAACTGAGTATGGAAGAAGGCTTTTTTTATTAAGTCCACAACATGCTTAAAGCTGGGCCTTATTTCACTGTGTTGTACAATGGTCGTATGGCCGTGGTACATACAACCATCCTATGAAGAGCCCAACTCCGCTCCATGTGAACACTAGACGACGCGATGCCGCAGTGTCGGTGGCAGTCTGAACAAATTGTCATTAAAAACTATCGGTTGTGCACGCGTTGTGGCATTGCGTTCTTCATAGAATCGTGTCGGTCGACGATTGTCGGACGGTGTGAGTGTGTCCGGATTTAGCCATAAGGTAAGTTCCTGTCTCTTATACACATCTAGATGTGTATAAGAGACAGCGTTTATCCTGACCGTTACACACTTATGCCAATCTCCTTGTCCTTAAGATGGGAACTAAAGCAATTGGTCTATTATATACAATGGCTATTTTAGCAAAAGAGAACTCAGTCCACAATTTGGAAAAGAGTACAGATTTGTCTCCTGGTGTACTGGCTTTTTTGCTTTATGTCTCAGGCCTATGTGTAAATATTTCTGTATTAGTAGGGAGGGATTGTTGCTTAACGTAAAGACAGGGATACATAGACAATCATTGGTCTATTATGGCTAGGCCCTACATGTACACATTTAAACATGAACCCACCACCCTAACATCGAAAGACAAGCACCGGTTAACCGTCAAGCTATTATTATAATATTAACTTAATAGAATTATCTAATACAGTTTAGTACCGCATAGAATTATGCTAATTGCTAATTGCTATAGAATATTAATAGACAATCAAACTGAGCCCCCATTTTCCATTGGCTATCTAAATGGGAGAGTAATCCACTGTACCATGAACTAGAATTCACCTAAATACTGCCTCAATCTTGCTCCTCTGAGGACTAAAATTTAGGACGCATTAATTTCCCCTGCAAGTAAAGACACCTAAGGGATGTTGCCTTGCCAACTGATTACTGCGAACACGAATGTAGAAACTACTCCCGAGAGACGCAGCAACTTAAAATTCTAACACTTTCCTTTTCTTCATTAGCTGCCTCAAAAGTTTGTTAATCAGGGGCTTATATTTTAAGTACAAAAACAATTTTTTAATCTAGTATGAAATATGTGTATTATGATGAGCAGTCCCATTGGATCAATCCAAGACTTTCCAAATGAAGATAATGTTCAAGATAGTAAGAAAGTTTAGCAAGAAATTTCAAAAAAGTCTTTTTAAGCCATTATGGAACAAATTAAATTTTTTTTTAAAGCCAACTACACTGAACTTTTTATTGCCTGTTGGATATGATTACAATAAGTATCAAAACTTCTCTTTAAAACATTCAGAGGTTTGAATGGTCTCTGAAAAATGAGTCTAAAGTAGTGAAAGTCAGCATGCAAAATACATTTGATACCATTATGTACATTAATTATGATCTACAGATTCATAAGAATATATTTGATTGTCTTTTATTTATAGCTGAGATGATACGGAGAATGAAGGCCACAACTGAGGCTAGCTCACATAGGAGATTGTTGTGGTTTAGGCCTATAAGTACATATTTTGTTTAATTTGTTGCATTTTCTGTAAATATCTAGTGTTAGAGAAAATTAATGCTGTTGGAATGTGGGTTAAGACATTTATTTTGACTATGACAAGGGACTTGGAGAACAGTATGACCATCTTACCTAGCATGGTATACCATTAGCCATAACACAACATGGCTATGCTCACTGTGTAAATTTCTTCTTGTAGATTAATCAACATTTTCTGTTTATTTGACTCCAATTCTATCCAATTGGTAAAATTTAGTGGTGTAACATTTTACCTATGCTTTTTGATTTGTTAACTTATGTTAAAACATAACAAATGCAGCCAAATCTTATTATGTGCTGACTATAATTATAATGTTGAAATATTGCTACCTACCAGGGTGTTTGGATTTTTATACCCACAGTTTTGGTGACTAATTTGGTGTATTGTGACCTATTTAGCAAATTTCCTAATTTACTAATATGACACGGATATAATATATTAGTACAACAGGACTAATTAATGCAAATGAGTTACTGTTTACCTTGGCCTACCCTGCAGTGAATAATTAGTAAATTAGTGACAGAGTACAAGACTAAAAAATCTAGGCCATCTGGAGTCAAGAAGCTTCCTTTAAAAATCTTTGGTTTCATTTTCAAGAAAAAAAATCTTTGACTTACCAATGCACTGAACACCATTGGAGGTAGATCTGAGAACTGTTCCTGGTGGGCAACTCCTAATTGGGTTACAAGTGGAGCATCCTGTTAAAAAAGAATTACATGCATTTATTTATTTATTTATTATCATCAATAAAGTCAAATCTATCTTATTTCTAGTCTCCAAAGGAAGTCCACTGAGTGTGCGAAAGCGTGAGCTAAATAAATAACAGTTAGTCTCTTAAGTGCCAGGTTCTGTCAACAAACACATTGCAGAACATTTAATTTAATTAATATTATGTATTGTTTTAAAAAATATTGCTTATACATTCAGTTTCCATACAATTACATGTTATTATCTAATTACTGTATGTATTTACTATTTAATTTATTTTACTTTTAATAGATTACTAAAATGTAATTATGTCAGTTTTAAATGCCTCGTACTATACATATTGCTTTTCTATATAAATCTCATTTTTGGTAGCCAAAACTAAATATTCAGAATTTGCAGGATTTCAACCAGCAGCTGTGGTATAATAAGCTGAGCACCTCAAGGTAGATCTCACTGTATAAAAGAATGTGGTAGACCAGTAAGTTTTTGAGCTTCCTACCAATAGATCAGAGATTTGAGTTTTAGACTGAGTCATGTTTTTAGGCTGCGGATGAGGCACTTTTTCTCACCATTATCTCTCATAGATGGGTACTTGGTAGGTTTGAATGGCATTGTGGTAGTTACTAGTTGCCCCATTAAGAAAGACTATTCCCTGCCTGGAAGTTAAGAAAGAGATGTGGCATCATCCGCAACATGAGAGACAAAACTTACTTGTGTATGTTCTATATAGCGGTGAGATGCCCCGTGTTGATGTTGCATAACCATTCGGCACATATCTAGTGGCGGATCCGTATAGGCCGCTTTGGGCAGCCGTCCCTGGTTTCCTGGAATTCACGGGATTAACTGGCCTCTGAATCGGTAGACAGGTCTTCAAGTTGCTCTGCAGGACATAACCCTGGCGACATGTACATTCAAAGCTGCCTTCTTTGTTGCTACAGAAGTGATTGCACAGGCCAGCTTGTAAACACTCATCAATATCTAAAATAGAAAGGTGTTTCTAATTATTATCTAATTATCTCACTGAAGCTCAGAGTGATGATACTCAAGCGATTTGGCGTAGCGGGAACGGTTTGGTTTCCCAACCTCAAAGTCGTGGGTTTCAATCCTTCGCTGCGTATTTCACTTGTGTCCTTGAGCAAGGTACTTTATCCACCCAGGAGTATAAACGAGTACCTGGTAGGGTTGCCCGTCACTGTGCCCATATGGCAGCAACACCTAAGCATGTGGACCCAATGAACAGGGAAAACAGTGATTTGTAACCTAAAGGACAAGCGCTATATGAATACCAAATAATAAATAACTCAAGCCTTGCATGAGCTGTTAGGGTTTATGGTTTCTACTTTGACTTTAATTGTTTTTCATATTTTACAATGTTCAATTTCATTGTACTGTATTTTTTGGAAAAGCATTTTTTTCTATGTAGCTAACCAAGAAGCCATCCCAAATCCTATGACCATTTATTTTCATGATTATGATTTGCATAATTAAAAATATAACAAAATACAAGATAGAACTTTGCAAATAATTATTAAAATACTGATTTGCAATGCACAGAAAGACACAAAATTCTATATTTACTTAAGAAAAGAATCAGATAGGATTTTTCATCAGCTAGGTACAATAAGGCAAGTGAGTGCTTTAAAATAGAAACATGCTCAAGTTGTAAGAAACCAAGATAGCGATACTACAGGGACCAATAACGCCTACCTTGACATGTTCGTAGATCAGGCCTCACTTGGTAGCCCTTTGGACAGGTACACCTTGGTAACCCACTAACACGCTCACATCGGTATTGACATCGAAGACTTGAACACGAGTTATAATATGATGATGCCGATGGTTGATTAGCTGGCCTATGAGAACTAGCTCTATCAGGGGTGACTTTCTTCGAATCCTCATATATCACTCGCCATTCTTCAGTTGCTGTTCTCGTCTGCGAATTTCCTAAAATTTATTAAGGTTAAATTGATTGACATATGTACTCATTTGAGCAACAGAAATAGGTGGCAATATGTAATTTGTTTAAATACCGGTATTGATTTAAATAAAATCATGACAGGATTTGAAATGGCGCTACTACTGACCTGTACGACCTTCTTGCAGAGCTCCTGTGTATCTGGGTACTGAACTTGTACAAGAGATACCGGTGGCTGTCGTCGTACATGTCGTACAGCGATTTGGTGCAGTACAAGTACCTTCTCCACAGCTTCCACGACAGACAGCTATAATAATGAAAACAAACATTTTCAACTATCACAACCTATTTTCATCCTTATTATCACCACCATTATTATTATCATCAGCAAGATCATCATTAATCATTCATATTATCATCAAAATTATTAGCACCATAGTCTCATCAATACCATCTTCATTGTAACACCATCACTATCAAAATCATCCTCTATATCATCATTATCATACAACACATCATCATTGGCCAATGCCGTAGCCAGGACTTTCAAACAGTGCTGGACAATATCAGTGTGGACCCAATTTACATGTAAATTCAAATAATGTGGACCCATTTTCTTAAAAGTTGACCCATTTTACGCAAAAATTTGAAAAATCTGGACCCATTTTCTTAAATTTTACCCATTCTAGGCTAGATATGAGAAATCTGAACCCATCTGGACTCATTTTATGCATGATATTGCATAATTTGGACCAATTTAAAAAAAATATGGACCCATTCTTTGTGGACCCATCAGAAAAATTGTGTGGGACTGAACCAACTGTCCCAATAGCTGGCTACGGCATTGTCATTGGCACAGGGCAAATTATATTCTAAAGAACTAACTTAAAAATTTTCTATTCGAAAAGTAGTAATCCCTTCACAAGAAAAATATACACACAAGATGCTCTACACAGTCGAAATCTATGTGGGGTAGAGTTGTTTTGGTTGTGAAACAGATTCCTGTAAAAGTGACTGGAATTGAGCCCAGGACGCTGGAACTCAAACTTGGCAAACATCTTAGACACCAAGCTATTCACTACACATTTTCCTATGGATACGAAATCAAGCATATTTTGATACATTCTCCACTCCGTGGGAAGTAATCTTAGTGATGCAGCTGTAATTCAGTCATTGCTGCTCAATCTTCTTGCAAATAATTTACCTCCAACCAGGTACCCACTCTGCTCAGTGAAGGAAGATAAAATATTAAAATACAGTGTCTCCTCCAAGGACAAAAGCAATGTCGACAAGCATCGGTCTCGAACTCACGGCGACCAATCAGTTGGAAGCGGAAGCCCAAAGACTTACCTCTGCGCCACACGCTTCTACTAGAAGGCTACAGTAGGAACGACTGAGGGATTAGGAGGGCTAAGGAAATAAAACTAAAAAAATCCTGTAGGAATTTAGACAATCATCCTTGATATCTACTCAACAGTACACTGACCTTGTATCAAAAAATCAAAACAAAACTACAGTACTGATAAGAATATACAAGTCATGAAAAAAGGAATCTTTGACTTGGCAAAGGATCATAGCAATAATGTAATGTACGCTGTGAAATGGTCCAATATACTAGGGTTCTATTAACATTTTTGTTGGATTCAGTGCAGTGCCTATTAAAGAAAGGGGCGCTTACTCGAGGCAGGGGTTCATATTCGAGAGCGGGACTTATTCTAAATTAGTAGATTGTTAAAGTTGCACAAAGGATTATCTGACTTGTTGAAACATAGTATCAATTATTTTATGAAAAATTGGTTGTTTAATAATTTCTCATTGATAAACAAAATCAAGGAAAACTGTAAAATGAATTTTTCATTAAGAGCCGCAATAATTATGCATAAATAATGATTGGAAGGACACTTATTCGAGGGTACATGTGCTTATTCGAGCCACATTATGAGCATTTATGGTAACACATTGTAAAGTTGGAAACATCTCCTATGCCCCTTTAAGCATTTTAGTAATAAAATCATATTGTAAACATTAAAAATTGATATTTTCAATCTGTCACTTATTAAAGATTGTGGTTGTTTTAAATGAGCGTTCAATTATTTATTTATAAGGTTTTATCTTTATTTTTTTTTGGAAGTATTTTTCCCAAAGGAAGGTTCACTGTTGCAATACAAATATTATTATTAGCATTTAAGTTATTTTTGTTATGAATACCTACTTCCTCCCAATAAGATAATACATCCACAATTATATCGAAACCCTGGAGGTTCAACCAACCATGCTTATAGTATAACAGGCCAACACAATGTTAACTGTTATGAATGGGTTCATGTACTAAACATTTGAAAGGTGAAAATTTCAGTGTCAGATAGAGATATTCAATCACTGTTAAAGATGATAGCGCTACAGAATAAGCTAATCCCTGCGTCATCTAGCCTGTATCACCGGACGTTCGCAGGGGTACATGTCCGCAATGAGCATCCAATAGCTTGAAGTGGATTGCAGGCTCAGTTTCAGAATTGCTCGAATTGAAATAGATTACGTCACGCAATTGGCAATTTGGACTCATTGCTGGTACCTCATCCATGCTTTTTCATTTATGTCATTGTGAAAAGGCCCTAGAAAAAAATGTCTGGAAAAAATGTGGACCTTTGAAAATTTTGGGGGGGGGGGGGGGGGGGGGGGGGGGGTTGTATGACATTCCCAATTCCCCCTTGCATATGCCCATGGAATTCTGCATGGTTTCTAGTTCTCAAATTAAAGATGATAAATCAATCCCTTGCGGTGCATCACTTGTGCCCTTGAGCAAGGCACTCTACAGGGGAAGAATTTTTTGGGGGGTGTGGGCCAGCCTCAGCACCCCCATTTTGGAAAATCTAAAAAAAAGGAAAAAATACAAAGAAAAAGAAATGTTTGATTGCCTAAAACGCCTCAGAGGTTATTTCCGGGCGTCTAGAAAACAAAAATTACCCCCTAGTTGTCTCGGTGGGCCCCACTTTCGGCCTCCCTTTTGGACCCTCCTTTTGGACATCTCTGGATCCACCCCTGCTCTTGTGCATTTGCTTTTCTTCACCTAGGACTATAAATAGATCCATGGTGGGGTTACCTGCACTTCTGCATTGATTACAGCAGCATTTATGGATTACCCCTCCCCCCCTAAGGGTTTTATACATGGACCCTGATCGGAAGTCTAGCCAGACCTTAATAGTTATGACTTATGACCCTGTCATGGTGTTGATAATCACATGGTCCACTACTTGTATTCATAACCACACACTCCATCAATATCACACCATCAACCACTTTATAACCATACATTGTTCCAAAAACCACAATGTCAATCATTAGTCCTCATAAACACAGTCCATCACTAGTGTTCATAATCATAGGCTACTTTTCCACCTACGCTTTTGGTAAAATCATTTTGCAAAATGAGAAGGAAATTTGTTTTCCATCCTTCTTTGACGATCTTCCAAAAAAATAAAGTTCGCTAGGCATGGTATTAAATCAAATGGTCCTCTGATCAATGTTGCTACTTACGTGTTATGCACATTCCCGATGATTTTGATCTTTCCCATCCTATGCAGCACTGTGGACCGTATGGACCCCGGCATACATGAGGACCTCTGTAACACAGAAATAATCATTTAGAAAATGTATATTAATTGACTACTGAATATGCATACTTATTGATTACTTATTACAATACGAATGAAATACCGTAGCTCCTCAGGAATAAGCCCTCCTCAGGTATAAGTTGACCCCAGGTTCTTACCCCCTTCTTTACGTACCTTTGCATGCGCAAAAGCCCAGGGTATAATTTGAATGAGTAGCTTAGCGGACTTACACTCTAAAAAATGTCAAATATTGGGTAATATTGGGTAATATTGGGTATGCAGTGATGAAATTACCTTTTTGATTAAAAAGGGGATTTTCTGGGTATGTAATCCCACCCCCACCCCCCACAAAATCGGCCAATTTTGTGTTCAAGCAGAGTGGGCTTATAGTATACCACTGTCAGAGGAAATACTGTATGTTATATTTCATACTTTACTTAAAAACACACAGAACAAACATAAATACTGTATCTGTATGACCTATGGCATTAAGCCGCAGCAATCACAACAAGCTTATTTCCGATAGGGTTCAAATATGCAAACAACAAGGTAAGTTACAGGTACTTAAAAATCTCTGATGAGCAAAGCATCTTTAAAAAAAAAAACATACATTTGGAATGCTAAATACTTCATTAATATTCTATTGAAAATCAAAATGAGAAAAGCATTTCCCTCATCAACTATCACTATGCATAAATACTAATACTGAATGAAAAATGAACATTCTAAAATATATTATTGCGTTTAAAGATTTATCTTTTTTTTTTATTAAATAAAATTCAGAACTGTGCATATATTGAACTTAACAATTGCCATTTTTTTTAATGAAATAAATCATAAATAACATCCAGAATGTTGCATTACTCCATGGAAAAAGAAACTTTACTCCCATCAGCATTTCTTGGATACAACTTTACTCCCTTGTCTGTATTGAGGACCTATAAATTAAACAACAAAGTAGGCCACAAGGGGTAGAGATTAAACCTATAGAGCTGTCAACAACAGAAACACACACACTCACACTGCAGGCACCTTGGGTTTGTTAGCTTTCCTAAGCGTCTCAAGCTGAATACACCACAGTGGGTCTGTTACCGTTGACAGGCATGGCAAGGGCTTGATGGGAAGTTCAATGCTTGGTCTAAAGACATGTTGCTCAATCATATCGTTTAGGGTCAACTTGCTAATTCAATCTACCAATGATTCAATCTACCCAGTCCAGTATAATTCACATTTTTCACAGTAAACATGTATTCAAATTACCAACTTTGCTCAACTATTATAAAGCACCACCCTGAATGGAGTCTCTATACAGTACTACAAAATTAAACTATATCCAGTAATAATCTGGATATCCTCATGGAAAATACCACAAAAGGGAAACTCAAGCACTGGTACAGTTTGCATGTGGAATAACCAAAAAAGGGGCAACCAAGCATTAGACAGCCTTTGTTATCTCCGTCGAGAACCAATCCGCCAAGAAAAGTGCATATTTTTGTGTACGACGTCACCAGTTTAGACCTAGTTTTAGATTTTCTCGTACTCGCAACCCAAGATTCTGCCGATGGATCCCGGGAGATGAATTGAGAACCAGAAACTGAATGTATGCAACATTTTAACGAAATTTGATTATATTCTATATTAAATTATTATATACTACCTTGAGAAAACCTTCATAGTAAATACTGATTGCAAATTCACTTTTTCGCAGATGTTCACATAATCAATGTATTCTGTCCTAGGCTATGTAGGCTCTAGCCATTTGGTACCATTCAATCAGCCACCATGCCACCACGACCCAAGCACGTGCCACGGCCGTAGCAACAGGCTGTGCTGCCACCGAGGGTTTTATTCTCAGGAAACGCGAAACGGGATAGCAAAAACTCACTATTTTTTTAACGAGAACGATAACATTCGTTTTATCGAACGATAACATTGGTTTTCAAACAAGATAGCGAAAACTCTCTATTGACATTGCACTGCGACCTCCAGGAGCAACAACTATTATTAACTACATTATGAGATAACCAGATTGGAACTCAGTTTTAATTTGTTACAAAATGTTTTTTATATATTTTCAGAGAGTTCAAAACATATGCTGGGGAAGGGGAGGGGGGAGGGTAAAGATGTATTTAACCGAATCCGAATTTTCGGATCAGGAAAGACTACCAAACAATCAGGAAATCTAATTATAAGAATAGGGATAATGGCATTCAGCGCTTCAGAAACCTTGGTCCGAATTTTGGTTTGGGCGATCAGGTGTGAATGCAGTTTTAATGATGCATATTCATTTACTGAAATGACAAAATGATAATCCGATTTCATTATTATAACTCTTTTGTTAGATGTTAGAGAAAAGGTAGGTCTCTTTCAAATAAATTCTTGGCTGAGATACAGGATTTGATCAAAGAGGTATTTGCTTTAATGAATGGGAGCCTGTGCTATTCATGGTTAAAATGTCAGAGATTAATTCCAGAGTGGTTTCATTTCGAGTGGCATAACAAACTAGGCTAGGTAGGCCTTAAAAATACTGTAAATCACTGTCACTAGTTTCACAAAATATCAATAATGTTCAACACACTAGCTTTTGTACCTACAAGAGTACAACCAATCAATATAAACTAACCAGGCATTAACGAAATACTAATACAGTACATAATCAACCTGGATAGTCCATATTCAATGCAGGGCTACATTGGTAGCAAAGACACCAGCAGCCACGACATACCCGATTCCCAGAACCCACCCAACCCAAGTAGCAGGTCAGGCGTAACATTCAATTTCAATCACAATTTTCTCACAAAGTTACCAGCCTACTGTTTGGGTTTTTTCTAGAAGCAATATTTTGATCCACTCGATAAAACATGTGTTTAGCCTACAGACATAACTGTAATATAAAAACATTCAACATTTCCTTCTAAATCACATATCTTACCACAAACTTATGTTCGAAATATCAAGTCGGCTTTTTTGATAGACAGTGTGTTGACAACTTCATAGTCTTTTAATTGATCATTGACCTTTGACCTAACGCGTTCCTTAATTTTATACAAATACACAGATAAACTTTTTAATGTTTTACTGTCTTGGCGTCGCACATCGAAGTCTAAACTTAAAATGCACTAAAGTCTATCTAGCCCTGGAAAAACGTGCTCAATTAAACATTTGTTCAAACGAAATGTTTAATTTAGGTTTATTTAAAGATCATTCTGTCTATGATGAGCTAAAGTTTAAATATTAAAAAAAAAATTAAATTAATTTTAAATTATTTTTTAAAAAATTAAACTACACTTTAAATTAAATTTAAATTAAATTTCAATCAAATACTAGATTAAGAATATTGCTTGATACGAATAGTTGCGTATTTGTCTTATCTTATAAATGTGAACACAAGCATGGCCTTTAGTTTTGGCCTTGATATGATAAGAGAATAATATTGCAAAATCACAAGCTCATATAATATGTGCATAAAAATATGTTGGGAGCAGCTTTCTTTTTGGTTAATGCTTGGCTGTTCAACCTTAAAGTAAAGCACAATAACTGATGTATATGAAACAATTATAAAACCGAAATTTGGAGTGACACCGGTAAACTACAGGATGCCCGGGTTGCAATGCGCCCGGCTCGTAAGATTTTTCGATTATCTTCGGAATTATTATCAAATTGTAAAAAAATATATATATAATGAACAAACCTTTGTATATTTCTAGCATTTCGATGAAGAACTTTATCCTTTGCGGCTGAGGTGCCAACAAAAAGTAGCAGGATACAAACTAATAATAGTAAATCCCGGTAAGAAGGTATCTTCGACATTGTTCTCAAAGAGTCTATGGGGGAATACCCCTACACAATTATCCAATTACAGATATATTCCTAATGTTCAAATATTCAGCAATTTTCTAGAAACTTTACAGTTTAATGATAAATGTTCCTTTATTATGATGTATGCAACATCATCGAATGAACTACAAAGTCGTTGTGGCAATGAATCTCAATCAACGAATTTCCTGGGTTACAGGACAACTGTTGGCATATCGTTGCTTATCGCCGCAATTCACCGAGTGACAAGTTCGGTATTCTAAACCGATAAATAAACGATGGGATCAGCAATTGCCTCTCAGGTTTACTCATAGACCAGGTCAAAAGTCAATTGTGACAGGCAAAATTATACCTACTAATCATTGAAACCTGATCTCAGCTTTCCTTGACAGCGACTTAAAATAAGCCCACCTACAAGTTGCAATTCGATCGAAAAGCTTGCGCTGATACGGCATTGTGATTGGACTAAAGGCAATAAGTTTTTAACGAGAGGGGGCGCGTTATGATGTGGTTAAATCCTCTGTTGGGAAACATTTACACGGGCGAGTAAGACGGGCAACACTGACTAATATAGCTATCATTAAGACCAGGGAACTTCTACGACATAACATTTTTGCATATATTTGGTGTGTGTTTTAGGTTTTATAGGATGTCAATTTTAACATTTTATGATATTTTTAGCGTATATTTTATGCAATGTTTTTTAAAGCTTTTTCTGACGTATTATCATTAACGCAATGTAATTTTTAGTTTATATCTCGACCTTATGGAACATTATTATTTATTGAAGGAGTTTCGTGAATAAATAAAATGACATCTATCTATTTGTATCTAACTAATATTTTATTGTGCACGAAAACCCTTTTCACTTGTAAACTTCTTCAGGACCAGAAGTTGGTGCCCAATTGTTAGTCTTAATTAGTGCTTCCTGTCTTACTGTTTATATAGGTCAGATTATTAGCACGTCTTTAGACCCAGCATTTCATATTTCCTAAATAGACCGACCACAATACCATCGAGTTACACAATGGGGAATCCAGCAATTCGTAATAAATTATATTTTTAGATCACTAGACCTATTGAACGAGCCCCCAATAGCCCCGGGCCCCAGTGCTGTGCACTGACTGCACTGTCCATACCTACGCCACTCGACCTAAGTATTATTAGTGGTTACATAACGTTTGCTATGCACTGAATCATGCGCTATAGAAGTGGAAGACCATAATGTATTGGAAATATACCTCTCTTTCTCTGGTAGGACCTACAGTACAATCAGTTTAAAAGTGTAATGTATAGGACAGTGTGGATTTAAACCTTTTCCTAATGGTAATGTTCAAAATAAGTGTCAAGGAAAGTAAGTATGATTGTTGGAAAAAATTGTCAACATTTTATTTTGAATTCTCACCCTGACCTTCGCCTGGGCGCAGGGGGCGAAGGTCTGGATCCGCGTCTAGTTAGCATGAATTTTGTAAGCCAGGACCCATATTATTTTGTTACGTTTCTTCACAGAGTGCCCCCCCCCCGGATCCGCCACTGTAATGTGCTAATAGTTAAATATAGCTTTTAACGATGCGAAGCGAAGACGAAGTCCCTCCCTTTTTCCCTGAGAAAACTTCAAGCAACAAATTGAAATGCTTAAAAAAGAAAGTGCATGTTTTACTATGGAGTGCACGAGAAGCACACACACAAGACAAGCGACCATTATTTTTTGTTCACGGTAAGGTAAACAAAGGGGAATGTCTAGCCACCCTATTCACCACCACCACCCCCAGATCCGCCACTGATTGGGGTTTTGTATTTTTAAAAAAGCAAACTATATTTGTAATTGAATTATATAAATTTGTAATTGAATTGTATAATTTTGTAATTGTATTTGTAGATTTACGATTTAGGCCTATATTTGAAAATGGGAGCAACTTTAATTGTGTAATTGTTAATCACCATAGGAATTTAAATTATTTTTACGTATGTAGGTACTAGGTTTATCGCATTTATGGTTTAGGGGCCGCGGTTTACCTCCCTCCGTTTAGTCATGCTGGATCAGGAGTAGTAAACTCAGCGGTCGTGGGTTCGATTCCCACACGGGGCAATTTTTTTAAATTTTTTTATTGTTTTTTTTTTTTTAAGGTCGTGGGTTCGATTCCCACACGAGCCAGTTTTTTGTAATTTTTTTTAAGGCAGTTTAGTTGATGGTGGATAATGAATAGCAAACCTGGAGGTTGTGTGTTCGATTCCCACACGAACCAAGAACCATTTTTTTTTTTTTTTTTTTTTTTTTTTTTTTTTGGGGGCGTAATTCCTAGACGGGATTGTTCATTCAATTCATATTGAAATTTACGGAAGCGCCTAAGTATTGGTATACCAAATACGGTAGTATCAAAAGTTCAAAACAAACCATAGAGTGCAAGCTACGATCTGCTGCTACGAAGTACGATACAATACTGTGATGATAGCGGCTGAACATCAGTTGGAGAATGTAGGCGAATGGACGTTACAAATAATTGAGGTAAAGTATACACAAAGTTTGGCTCAAACTATATTTTCTGATCTAGCCTAGGCGTAGACCTAGGCCTAGTCAAACTTAGGTAGGCTACTTCTGCAGGATTTCAGATTGCCTAGGTACTAGGTAGGTAGGCTGCTTTCACATCGGTCCCTAATGAATGAGTGACGTGAATTCTGCCACGTTGCCCGGTTATTATGGACTTACTATTAGTTACAGTACTAGTGGCCTAGACCTAACCAAAGATTATGAGCTATAGGCCCTAGCTGATTTTTTTTTTTAATAATTTCATTAGCATTTAAAGCATATAGACAAACTGCATGATTAATAATGAATCATGAATGTTCATTTTTTATTTATATTTTTATATATAATTATTAGGAATAGCCTGGCCTACTATATAGGCCTATTAATATTATAGATAGGATATTTATATCTTTTTAAATCAATATATTGTACTACTTGTAGGCCTACTAAATAGGCCCTAGGCCTATGTATGTTTTTGTAAAATGTTATGACCTTATATACTAAATAAAAGAAATAAATAGGGCTCAATATATTTGTCATCGGCCTCCTATTTAATAATAAAAATAAATAAATAAATTGATAGTGTACATAGGCCTAGATGGATTAAAATAACATGCTTTTTGATCTTGATTTTTTTTTAAATTGTAGTTATTTTTGCCTTTATTTTTACTTCCTTACAGTCAGAATTTATTATGTTTATAGTGTTTTTGATTTATGTTTTTAAGGAATAAATGAAAAATATTTAAATAAATGAATATTTTAAGAAAGTCTTCTTTACAACACTATATATCATTAGGTTTTGAATTTATTAATTAGTATATGCAACAGATTGAGTGTTTCCTAACATGGTTCAATTGACTTTATTGCATATTCTTGAAGAATACTTATTTAAATTTAGTAAATTGCTTATTTGTTCATTGTACTATATTGAATGAATATACTGTACAGTAGTAAACAGCTTTATTTATGTAATAAAATTTATTGGTGCATATAATGAAAAAGAAAGGTTTAATTATTTGTTGCTGTAGAAGAAAAATAATTTACTGTAGTAAGGCCATGGCTGACAGCCAATAATTGCTGATGGAGCATTTTGAGGAAATGTGACCCCTGTTTATTACAACTATGTTATACTCTTATATTTCAGGCACTCGTTTACAATACACAGAAAACATGGACTTTGAGACAGCTTTGGTGAAAGTTGGTGATTTTGGCTTCCAGCAGAAGTTACAAGTTGGTTTGTTGACATTGTCCCAAGTAACATTAACACCACAGCTGATAGGTCTTGTTTTCTTGGGAGCCACGCCACCATTCACTTGTAAAGATTTTCCCAATGAACAGGATCCTTGCTCGTTGAATCCACCTTGCAAAGAGTACGAGTATGGTCCCCAGTTTACTTCCATTGTATCAGAGGTATGGTTTTTAGTGAACATACTTATATTATATATTTTCATTTGAGAATACAGTAGCTTGCTTTAAATATCACGATTTTTTATATATTATGTTTAACAGTTGTACATTGGTCCTTCTTGTAGTCACAATTTGTATTTGATAACATAATAATTAACCATAATTTTGTGAATTATTTTCTGTGCAGTGGAACCTTGTTTGTGGAGATGCACCAGCTGTGGGCCACATCCAGTCGTATTTCATGATTGGTGTCTTGTTGGGTAGCGTCATATTCGGTGGTCTGTGCGATTCATTTGGACGTCGCAAGGTGTTTTTGTATTCTACTTTAACCATTGCTACAATAACTTGTCTTAGTTACTTTATCCAGTCTTACTATGTATTTTGCATATCAAGGTAATTTTGCACTTTTTAATGTACTGTAATCTAATGTTCCATACTATTATTTGAGATATATATCAATAGTTAATGTAGAATTTTATGCAGTATACATATTTTTAGTGGTTAGCAAGTGGAAATATATGCAGAGCACTGGTTGGTCTAAAGATTTGTCTGAGCCGGCCCGCCTTTCCGTTCCCCCTCCCCCTAAATTTTTCAGAATGGAGAAAAAGGAAAATTATTTAAATTTAGCTCTGGGAATGCCATTTCCGGCCATCTAGAGGTGCCATGATTATAAAATTTCTTATCTCACCCCCTATCATGGTGGGACTGAGGGGTCTAGACAACTCCGTTTGTAAAAGTTTCTCTCTGGGCCCCCCTCTACTGTATTTCAAATTCCTGGATCTGCCACTGGGTATTAAGAACCTTGTTCATAATACTAGTCTGGTACTGTATATATAATTATTTTGTTATTTGGTTTTATGTTTTTTCCAGGTTTATTGATGGATTTCTGACTGGCGGTATGATTATGTCAACATATGTTCTAGGAACAGAATGTATTGCAGGGTCTTATCGAGTTATCTGCGGAAGTCTTTATGGTGTATTTTTTGCTGTTGGCATAGTGGTAATTTTCATACGAAACAATGTCTAATAAATAACATTTTGTTACTCTTAAAATTTCTGACAGTTTTTTTTTTTTACTGATTTTTAAGACTAACATGGCTACCCCACTCTTACATCATAGAAGAATAGTACAATTATGTGTGAACACTGTATGGTCATATTCAACTGGTAAACTTTGTTGAGAGAACAGTTTTTGTTGAGCATACTTTCATTTAGCTGGTTCTTGAAATATACGTAAATTAAAATTTTGTTAATAAGTTTTCATTTGACCATAACAAATATGGCCGGGTATTAAGTTAGTGCAAACATTTGTATTAACATTATTTAGATAATTTCAGGAAAAAAAATGATTTTGGACAAACAGCACTCAAGAACTAAATGAAATTGTTTGCTCATGATAAACCAAACTGCACGAGCTAAGACAACCTTTGCTTCATAAGCCTTTACGTAGGTCCACAACCATTTTGATTTGTATCCAGTTCCCTACTGGTCTTGATGTCTTCGTTTCGTACAGTTTTTTTTTTTGAGTGCGTAGGTAGAAGTCGTTTTTTATAATTAACTACCAGTTGAATATGACCTATACCACTTTGATTGATTGATTCTAATACTATTCATATAATTGATCCAAACTTAAAATGTTTTGTGTTTTAGTTGTTTTCACTGGAAGCATATTTCATAAACAATTGGAGGCATCTGATGTTGGTCACATCTTTCCCTCTCTATCTTCTGATTTTTATGGCCTGGTGAGTATATAAGACCAGTCAGTAAATAGCATCAATCAATCAATCAATCAAAAAAGGGCCTCTGGATATCAGCGTTCTGGAATCTGAAAGATCACCCTATATAAATATGTTGCTGTAGTTGTTATTGCAGTATAATTGCAATTAAATATTTTACATGACATATATCACAGTGAAGTAAATAATTATATCATTTGGCATTAATATATTTCTTTTTGTAGTGTCATACCTGAATCACCAAGGTGGCTTTACTCACAGGGTCGGATATCAGAAGCAGAAGATATTCTAAATGTAATTGCACATCGAAATGGTAACATTGTTAAGGTGACACTAGAAGTAAACAAAGAGGGCTCTGCCAAGAATCCAAACTCAACCTATTCAGATTTCTTCCGAACACCAATAATCAGGAAACAAATTTTGATTCAGATATTTTTATGGTAATGTTCAAAGATCAATATGATCTAGGTTTGTATATTCAGAAAGTTTTAGTTACTGACGTTTCAGTACATCTACTATTATTTTCTATACTTACCGCCCATTATGCAGCGGCAGATATGCCCAATCCAGTTTCAGTGCCGTCTCTTTATGATGTTATTCATGCTGTCTTGCTGGCATCTAATGAGAAGAATTTTCTATAGATTTCATTTAAACAGTTTAAAGCAGTTCCATATTGTATAAAGTGCTATAAATTGCTAAGATTATGTAAATTCACGGCCAGTTTATTGGTTTTTTGCATAACATATTCTGACAGAAGGTCCAAACAAAGGTCTGCCTAAGACCTATGCTAGTTTCCCAGAGATTAGCACTTCAGAATTGTTTAATAAACTTAAGTATTTTTTTCTTATCTCTATAGGTTTTCTTGTAGCTTTGTCTACTATGGTTTAACAATGAGTTCTGGAAACCTTGGCAAGAACATGTACTTAAATGTCGCCCTCTCTGGTTTGTCTGAATTGCCAGGATATTTTCTGTGTGTTGTTTTCATCGATAGGTGAGTCTGCTCTACTGATATAATTATTTTATAGAGTAAGCAATTTTCCTAAATATTTATTGCTCTCTATAATTATCAACCAATCTTACCCACAAATATGAAAAACATTTTGAAATACATAGTAGGTAAAGTACATGACTAAACCTAAAGCCCTCGGCTCATAGGCTGGGGTTCCCGTCTCTCTTTGATTGGCATTTGGGCCAGACTGTGCAAGGCTGTGGGGGGCGTTCACCACTCTTCTCACTGCAGTCTGTTTTACCTTCCCAGCGTACGCCGGTACAAATTTATACACCTGGGTGGCGGGAGACAAACGTAGAGAAAGTGTCTTGCCTAAGGACACAAGCGACTTGCACAAGGGTTTTGAACCTTAAAGTTGAGAGTCCGAACCACAACCGTTGCGCCAACATACTTACTTTAGACTCCTGGGTGGAGAGGAGTAACGCAGCTAAAGTGCCTTCCTCAATGACACGAGTGAAATGCGCAGCGGGGACTTGAAAACCCCAACCTCACAGTTGGAAAACCGCTACCATTACCGCTGCGGCAGAGGAACACATTTGAGGGCCAGGGTTCACACTTGTGTTTCCTTTGGAAATGAACAACTGGTTATGTCACTATTTGTAATGATTTCTTTTGCTTTTGTTAGAGTTGGTAGAAGGACATTTTTGAGTTCATGTTTTCTTGTAGGAGGCGGCGCCTGCATTGGTATGCTACTTAAACCCTTCTACTCAGGTAAATAGTTATTATTTTTTTTTAATGAAACTTTTTCATATTTAATTTTATTTTGCTGAGCATAGTGATGCCCAGCGGCACTGACTTCTGTGATACAATTTGTAATAAAGTAGTAAAAACATGCAAATATTATGAATTTGCAGGAGATGGGTTCTTGCTTGCTTGCAGGAGTGCGGGTGGCCGCCACGATTTCCGGGAGGCTTCTGGGAGATTAGGCTCCCTGACTTTAGTATACTGATATTACTATTAATGCTCACTATAAGTTAGAGGCTGAAATTAATAATATGCATTCTTTTGATTTGTTTAGGTGTTGATGGTGATAGTGTAATAGTAATTTATCTTGCCATGGTTGGTAAATTGTGCATATCTGCTTGTTTCAATACTGCTTACATATACTCAAGTGAACTTTTACCAACAGTGCTGAGGTAAGCAAAAACACGCCCTAATAAATTGTGTACCCCAAACCTTTTATTTATATCACGGTATCTTTATTAAATATATCATGGCAGCACAAAGCTGAATTGAGATAAAACATACAAATAGCAAATCAAAAAATGAATACAATAGACTTAAAATCACAAGATAATATAGACTTACAGCACATTTTCACAAAATCGCACACTAAACAAAAAACTGAACAAGTTTATAAAACATCAAATTGGAATTAAATATTACAAATTATCTCACTGGCATAAATTAATTATTCTTGAAATGCAAAACGTGCATAGACATATTAATAATAGGGAGCTCTCGATTTGCGCTATAACGCGACTCTACAACGGGTTCACTCAGGCGTGACCGTCCTACCTCCTCTGCACAACGTCGATTTGGTCAAACTTCATCGTAGAATCCACACGATGAGGAAAACTTGACGTTCTGGCATCGGTAGATGAAATATTATTGATGTCATTATGTTCTAGATTCTACCGCGTCGTGCAGTCAAAAGCTCCCTAATAATCATTCTGTTATTTTGGCAAGCACTGTCCATCACTTTTTACCTTTACATTGGTTCACCTTACAAGGTTTTTTAACCAGTGAAGTTTGCAAACTACTTTACAGTATGCCAGTTCACAACCCATCTTCTGGGTGTAAACTTTATTTGAGCTTGTTCTTTATCAATACAAATTATATTCTTACTAGAATTGAGTGTTTTTGTATTTATTTTATGATTTTCACAGAAACTCTGGACTTGGAGTTTGTTCAGCTGCAGCTCGTGTTGGTGGTATTGTGGCTCCAATAGCTGCCACTATGGTAATTATGCTAGTTTCACAGGGGCAGATTTAGGGAGGGGGATAAAAAAAATCAAAATGGCATACAAATACTAAATATTTCAATATTTCACATTATCATATTACACTGAACACAAATTATACTATTATTGGGAAATTATATATCTGTATAATTATATTATGTCTTGGCCTATGAACTTGGTGCTCCCTCGTTTTAAAAAGTCTGAATCTGCTTTTGGTTGTTAAGTCGCTAAGTCTTGTCTGGTATTCTTGCAAAAACCAATGCTATTCAGAAACATTATCTTACATTTTTGCATGTCTCACCTTGCAATATAAATTTTACTTACTCTGACTAGCTCCTTTGGAATAAGAAATATAATAATTGTGATCTGTTTTCAGGGATTCAATTCAACGTATGCTCTTTTTGGAGGAGCTGGCCTTCTTAGTGGGTTTCTAGTACTGCAACTCCCAGAGACTATTGGTAGAAGTTTACCTGAAACCATTGAGGATGTTGAAATTCCACCTAAAGTTCAACATGCTGTAACAGCTGAGGTCACTAAGGAAGTCGTTGCAGCTATGGAGGAGAAACTGAGTATGTTAGATTATCCAGATGGTAATGAAACAGCATAAATCTCATAATAAATAAATAATAAAATAAACAAAAAATTAAAAGAAAAACCACACATTCAAACTTTTTGGCACTGGTTGCAAAATCCATATGAGCTAGATGGACAGTAGCCTTCAGTATTGAAGTTTGTCCATTAATGGAAGAAGATGAGGCTTATTTATGATGCTAACCATTTTCCAAATATAAGCATCAACAGCCCAGTAAGTAACCCAGGATTATTATTAGAAATTTTACGGTAATTGTTTTCAGAAAGGATGTCTAAAGTGCTTTACAATGTATTCTTTAATGATAATAATTTACGTAAATATTGATATATTGTTGAAGTTGACAAGACAGGGTGAAGATCATATAAATGCTGAACTACATATTTCAATGCAAAATAAATAATAAAATATTATATTTATTAATAATGCTACTAATGTAAACAGTTGTAAACTGTATTTTCCATTACTGGTCCAAACGTTTGTAATATTACATTTTTAATTCTTATATCACTATATGTACAAATAATGAAACTGTTTTTTTTCACACTCTAATCTTTCATAATCATGGTATTAAGGACCGTATGATTTAATTAATGCACATATTGAAGGTGAAATTAATGACATAATTGGCATTGTCTTTCAATGTACCATTCTTTTCCAAATTTGAGATTTTTTCTTTCACTTTCAAAATGATGTATATTTTATTTTTAAAATTGTATATGTATATTTGTTCATGTTTATACTGTTACTCTTTATAGTAACCCACTACTCTAATAGTAACCCATCTTAAAAACAATCAAAGAATATTAACCCAGGATTATTATTAGAAATTTTATGGTAATAGTTTTCAAATGATGTGTCCCACAATTTACAATTTATGCATAAATGATAATAATTTAAGTAAATATTGATATATTGTCGAAAATGACAAGGCAGGGTGAAGATTTATAATAAATATTGAACTACATATTTCAATGCAAAATAAATAATAAAATATTATATTTATTAATGCTACTAATGTAAAAATTGTAAACTGTATGTTCCATTACTGGCCAAAACTTTTGTAATAAATACATTTTTAATCCTTATGTCACTATATGTACAAATCATGAAACTTTTTTTTCATAAATCAAATCTTTCATAATCATGGTACTGTATTGAGGTTCTGCTTAAATTAATGCACACATTGAAGTTGAAATCAAATACACATTTGACATTGTCTTTCAACTTATCGTTCCTTTCCAAATTCAAGATTTTTCTTTCACTTTTAAAAAGATATAATTATATTTTTTTAAATATATTTGTATATTTGTTCATGTTTTTATTGTACGTCAGTACCACCTGGTTTAAGAATTGTTACCGTTTCCATTAATGCCATCTGATGGTTTGATGTAAATTTTATTCAAAGTTTTCATTTTCTTCTGTAGAGTAGAGGTAATGTATCAAGTTTTAATAGTAATATAATTATATATATATGGTCATGTGTACTTTGAAGTACATGAGAAACAAAGGGTTGAACTAGATACTGTACACATTTAAAGGTGTTCGTAAGTCTTTCTACATACAACTTGTAAATATAAACAAAATTTTAAAGTAGCAATATGTCTATATAATTTGAAAATCATCTCAATGTATTTTTATTACTGCACAAACAATCCAATCAATTCATATCAGGGGCTCGTACGATCCTTATATCACTGATCCTTTATTCGAGCACTGTTTTTACCATTATTTGATTATTTATATGATTATATACCATACCACAGTTCTACGCAACAACCTTGATTCCATATATAAATCCCGCCAGAGACACGTTTTTACATATAACTGCAATAAAGGAACTTTTCGTTGATGAGCTATGCTCATTACGATTATTACATCATGTATATATGTATGGTGATACTGTCTATATTTATTATTTACAAGTAACAAGTGTCATTCTTCAAATGTTTTGAATATCTTAAATGATTGCATAAGTGCCTACCATCCAATAAACACAGTTTTCTTCACCCAGCTGCTGCTTCTCAATAAGGAAACTTTACTAAAAAAATGTATTAATCATTGCTCAATTCGTCGTTTACGGTACTTCATAAATGTGACATTAAAGCCTATGATATACTATCTTATCTCATCTATATCTGTCCTTGTGTTTTGTATACTCTTAATATGAAGAAAAAAAAATAAACATATCATTTACCATTTACCATATCAATATGCATTGTACACATTTTATTTTCAGTTATTTATCATTGTTAAATAAAACTGAACATGTTAAGTAAATTGGTACTATGCTAGATAGCTCCAAGTTAGGCCTGTTACAATAGCGAATTTTCCAATTATATTCCACTTTAAAATGGTAATTTTTGAGAGCCAAGAATTTCCATTTCTTCATATCGCTGCATCATAATTCTTTGGTTTTCAAGCGGGTGCTTGTAGGCCGACATGGCACACGACTGGAAAGGATCGGTTTCTGCACACGGTCCGAAAATGACGGAGTTACGTTGTAGAGTGTTTCTATTGGAGCTTAGGTCAGCCAAGCGACTTTTATAAACAGCTGTGCATTGGTTGATGCCTGGATGTGTAAAATCTAAACGGTTAGTTGTTGCGTCCGGTGGCGGGAGCGACCCTTCTGGTAGAATCTGAAATGACGAACAGTTTCCTATCAATTAACAGGCCCATCATAATTCTTTGATGATGTAACTAGATACTGCACACATAATGGTGATTATAAGTCTTTCTACATACAACTTCATAAAGTAAATACAAACATAATTTTACTGTAATTGTATGTCTATACAATTGGAAAATCATGTCAATTTATTTTTATTACTACAAAAAATAATCCAGTCAATTCCCACCAGTGGCTCATACGATCAATCTTTATATCATTATTCCTTTATTCGAGGAATGTTTCTACTATTATTTGACTTTTATAAACGGTTGTGCAATGGTTGGTGTCTGGATATGCAAAACCTAAACGGTTAGTTGTTGCGTCCTAGTAGAATCTGAGATGACGAACACATTTGTCAATCACAATAGTCTCATCTATTAATTAACAAGATAGTATTTTTGGTAATTCCCACCAGTGGCTCATACGATCAATCTTTATATTCCTTTATACGAGGACTGTTTCTACTATTATTTGACTTTTATAAACGGTTGTGCAATGGTTGGTGTCTGGATATGAAAAAACCTAAACGGTTAGTTGTTGCGTCCTAGTAGAATCTGAGATGACGAACACATTTGTCAATCACTATAGTCCCATCTATTAATTAACAAGATAGTATTTTGGTATAGGCCTAGGCCTTAAACCAAGTAATTCTTTGATTTGGTGGCGGCGATGGGTTGAAGAAGATGATAAAAGGGTTTAACTTCCAAATTGATCATGAATATTAAATAAATTTTATATAATGATAAAAATGTATCACCTGTGCCGTCTCCGGCGGCGTGGCTATTGTGGCCTTTGCATTTTTCATATCATATACATCTTTCCCTTCCACATAATCCTTGTAATAAGAAGTTACGAGTGGCAAGTGATCTGTTCCAAGACAGATGTTTGTGCGCCGTTGTTGTTGGTTTTTTCCTTTAGCGTTCATGTTTTAAAATCCGGAAGATCCAAATTATTTGTTTCAATGTTTATAAACATATTAAATTTTCCGTGATAACTGTAACCATGACAATAGCACACGCTGTAAGCGTTACTCATGTGACGACGCGTGGAGCGACGCGCCTACGAAACTTTCTATGGTACGCTGGCGGCGCACTCAATAGCAAAAAACAAAGTTTTGTTTACAAAGTTGAAAAATAAGCATTCTTTGTCCATTTTTTAAATAAAAACAACGCGTAAGCAAGGAGGTATGTAATGTATTCAAGTCTATTTGTTAATTAAAGTGAATATATATTAAGTCTAGGCCTAGTTCATTTAAGTATGAATTTCATTGAAATTGAGTTCAGAGTCGAGCAGCAAATTGTATTACTATCTAGGCCTAGGGCGTATGTTAGTACAGTAGGCTAGGCCCTAGCCTGGCCTAGGCCTAGTGTCCGAATATCAAAGGTGGTCTCAGACTCCTATATGGCAGTAGGCCTAGCCTATGCCTATTATTTCTACACCTATCCAAGCGTTGCAAGGCCTAATATTATTATAAGCTAGGTTAATAATTATGTGAGCTAGGTTGGTTAATAATTATGTGCGTTTAGGCCTAGGTAAAGTTGCTACTACTAGCCTAGGCTAGGCCTACTACATCCCAGGCCTACTAGGCACCCCTTTGTTAGGCCTGCAGGCTCTGTAGTAGCCTAGGGCCTATATCTAAGCTTAGGCCTATTTTATATCCCTTTGGTGGTTTTTTTTTCATATTTCTAAAGAAAAATATATATATTTCAAGGTGAAAATGAACAGAGTGTTGCACAACAAAAGAGATGTATCTGTACAATTTGCAACAGCAGTTTTGACAGTACCGCCGGGTTTCCGCAACATCATTCATCTGATTGGCCATCAAGTATTGAAGGTTCAACCTTCAGCTGGTGAAACTATAGACTTCATTGCGAAATATGTTCAGAACTTATTATCAGTCAGGGAAGGTGAGTTTAAATTGTGTGTGATTTTAAAAATTGATCTCATTTTTGCATTTAGAAGCAAATTAGCTAAACTACAAGTTTGTCAAATCTATTCATGCTGTAAGTACTGTATGTATGTTATAAAAACTACAGCCACATCAAACCTAGTGGAAAGAGAATTTAGGTGGGATATGTGCTATCAGAGTAAAATTTGCACAACACATGCACAGCACACATTCATTGTATAACGAAAAGACAGAAAAATGGGCTTATTTTTATAACTGTCAGTGACAAAGCCACAACCAGATATGTAGGTGGCCGCAAGTTAGTTACTTGTGCTTTAGAAAGTTTAAAAATTGTATTCAATAGCAACAGGTTATGATCCAGCAATCCATGGCGACATGCTTGAACGGATTCAGGCCCACTATCACCAAATGTACGGCAGTGAGCTTCAAATGGTCACTCAAGCAGAACCACAGACCACCACTAATGATGGTAGGCGTTGTTTATCATTCTTTTATAAACCTTTTTGTCACTGTATAATATAATTATTATTGTCTTTTCGTCAACATCGCCACAGTCAGCGCTGCCATCGTTAAAGGGTTTTACCATTTTGGTTGTTTTTTGATGCACGAGGGATGGTAAATTAATTCTATTGAATCAATAATAAAAAGTGTTTTTTTCTGCATAGCAACTGAAGATGATGATGAGATAGAATATATGGAAGAGGCAGCAGCACTTGGTGCTGGAGTTGCTGCATCATCAGAAGATCTAGGAGATGCAATGGCAGATGATGCAGTGGAAGAGCATAGTAATGCAGCACAAGTAAATGAAACTGAGATGGCAGCTGACACTGCAACAGAACATTCTGATACACAGCCAGAAGGTGTAGGAGATGACATTGCAGATGATGCAATGGAAAAGCCTAGTAATGCAACACCAGTAAATAAAGATGAGATGGCAGCTGACACTGCAACAGAACACCCTACTGATACACAGCCAGAAGATGTAGTTGAAGACAACCCTACAGAGGAACTTGGTGATACTGAAGCAGTAGATGCAAGTGTAGAACATTCCAGTAACACAGCAGAGGATGTTAATCCTGAAGTGGCAAAATAAGACTGTTAGCCTTAGTAATTTGGATCGCAATTGAACACTTTAAATAAGTGTTGCATACTATTTTATTAATGCCTATGTACAGTCAAATGGTTGTTTTAAGTCTCTAATAAAACTACACAGGTTTATGTAAAACAAAAATGTGTTTTTGAAATAAAAAAATATGTAAATGATGATAATACAAATTGTCTAGACAATGATGATGATAAAGATGATGATGGTGATAGAATGATTATGGTAGTAATGCAGATGATAAAATGACAAGTACAATGGTTAAAAACAATATGTTAATGCATACAGCAATAATAAAGAGAATTAATAGCAATTTCACATTTATGTCCACTAGGTTGGTTTAATACACACTACTTGGAATTATTATCAATACAATGCTTCGCATACACTGATCATTAATTGTACAATATGATTCTTAAAGTATGATATCCAAATCAATATATACATAATATCTGGCAAAAATAACTTTGTAATATAAAGCATTTCTATGTATGTAGTCTCTATACCAGTGATTGAAATGTGTTTCTAGACTTTACTACGTTTTTATTTTAAAAGTAAATTAATAATGTTTTAAACACGATTAACATAGCATGCCTGAGAGATATCAACAAAAACAATACAAACTCAATAACAAAAATTTACAAATTGTAAGAAATTAAATACATTATTTTATGACCTAATGCTAACATTATATTGGCTATGGTATATAAATGAATCAATTCCATAATAAAACATTGGCTAAGTTTGGCTATGACATCAACATATATTTGTAAATTAATGTAAATGTGATAATGTAACAGAGATATTACCTTGTCTATAAAATCTAATATAATTTGCACATACTGTAATAACATCATTAAAACAATGTTTTTTCCTAAAGGAAACAAATCCCTGACTATTGTTTATAACTACTTGTTAATCTTTTAGCATAAAAGAGATCTGTATGCTGCGTATTTCTTTAATTCTTGACTTTGTATAAATTAACACAAATTAATAGTATGATATACTTTACATGGAATAAACAATTGCCAATGCGGAAGCAGTCATCCAAGCTCTGCCCAACGAGGGTAGCCCTACCCCATGCAATCTTTCTCATTTCCTTTCTCTGCGCAAGCGGCAAGCACCAAGCACCAGATCTTAGTACTCTAGTGTACTACAGTATACATATTTTGAAGACGTGAAAGTTTCAAGGAAGGATTTATAAAAAAATACAAGTCTTAAGTTACAATTTTTTTGTTAGTAATGAACTAAGGTCCCACAAACCACCCGTATATATAGGAAAGCATGCAAGTTTGTGGGACAAAACGTGTTGGGACAAGTTTGTAATCCTGGCCCTGCACTGACTAGTCAGTTGCTAAATTTGATCATTGAAAATCCGTAAAAGTCCATTGTCTTTATCAGGTATTCACAAATATATTGGAACATGCCATAGCAAATAACATTATTAATATTAACATTGTGTAAAGGCCAAAATCAGACAGCATTGTACGACGCAGCTCGACGCGATTCATCGTCGAGGACATTCTTAAGCCGTTGCGAGAAATATTAAACATGTTGAATATTCTACGACGCGACTGCCACCGATGCCAACCATTGCGTCTAGCTTTAACTCACACAGACCCAACGCAACAACAAATTGTGCCAAGCTGCGTCGTAAGACGCTGTCTGAGTTGGCCTTAACAATAAACCTACAGATGGAATACTTACCTTACTTATATTATTAAGCCTCAATAAAATATAATGTCTGAGTTGATTAGATAGGATAAAAAAAAAATAAAAACTATTCCTAATTCTATAGAAACAAAATCTTCAGAAGACCATATTTTAAAAAATTTGTTTATAGTGTGCACTAGAGAACAGTGGCCACACTGATCACAAAATGCACCCGATGGGTCAATCAATGGTTTGCAATATTATTAATCATGTAATTTTTATCTTGTGGTTCTACATAATTATTAATCATGATAAAAACATCAGAATGAACAATAACAACATTAATATCATGAATAAAGTAATAAGGTTATCTACAGGTTATGAAATATCAATTTTACAAAGAAATAAGTGCTGTACAAAGTCCACAAATGTATTGATCGCTGCCTGTCTCTCCAATAGCACAATTATGTATAAACTAATGAATGGATCATCATGAAATTTATTGGATTGACACATCGATCTAAAGGCTGTTTTCCACTAGGTGAATTTATTCGTTCGCACGAATCGAAGGCGTCTGTTCAGTTCCTGAGCTCTGATTGGTTCAGCACATTTTGTGCTTCGCAAAAAGTAGAAACAGTTTGAACTACCAATTTCGCTTAAGCGAAAACTTTGATAGAAATGCGCATGAACGACGATTTCAATTCGTGCAAATAAATTCACCTAGCGGAAAACCAGCTTGAGAGAGAGGTGATTACATTTTGGGATGAAATAGTCAAAGGGCCAGGTCAAGGTTACAGATATTTAAAAAAAAAATTGTTTTGAAAATTTCCCCTTTAGCATAAAAGAGGGAATCATCTGTAAACGTCTGACATGTATTATGAACTCCATGAAGTAACTTGCACTCAACTTTTCAAAATGGTATGTATTAAATAGGAATGTATTAACTGAATGTCTAAAATTACAAAGCCATTGCTATGTTCTCTTTTTTTTTCATATGCAGAAATCAGAAAAAGCACACAGATTACACAGGTTATTTTTGGAATGGTCCATATCTAAGCACTGTTGCTAATAACTTGAATTGATGGAAAATAAATAATGTTGGAATTCAAATTCATAACTGTAATCTCCTTCCCAACTTAATTTAATAGTCACTATCTTTTAAATGAATTAAGCACTATACTATAATAAGACACATCATTTTGATTTCATTAACTGCTTACAATCCCTTCACAAATTCTGTAAAATTTGTTATAAAGTGCAAAAACCTTATATGAGTACACAATGTTGTTACACACTGCTTTTAAAATAATGTCACTGCTATAAAATCATTTCATAATTTCTTGTGTTTGTCAATAAGTGCTATATTGAAGACTAAGCTCTTACCATACTTTTTCCACTAACACTGAGGGCAGTATTCATACAAACGGTCTCACTACGGTGCCAATTATATGCGACATCAATAATACATGTGTTTGTTGGCTAGTTATCTTTCATGATTCAGCGTCCTCTTGTGAAAGCAACTCCACTAACCGATCCCGAAGCGGTTCGCCAATCTTGCGGTACCCGTTGATTGTGAAGTGCAGATAATCGTACATGTCACGACAATCTATCAGACCATCTGAATGGACATAATCTACATCGGTGCTGAAAAATTCTGTTCTCGGTATATTTTCAAGGAACTGAACGATTAGATTGTTTACGGCAGCATTCTTCTCTCGCAAGGGGTTTGGTTTCTGGCCTCGTGGTGGTACGCCCTAAACATGTGGAAAAACATCTTTGACTAAATAATCTATACCAGAAACATACTTATAAATTTTAGATTATAGAGATTATAAATTATATTATGATTTCATGATTTACAAGTTTACAATAATTACAATATGCATGAATAAAAAAAAAAAATTGGGGTAATTTTCATTTATTCATCAGAGGATATAAAAACTGCCTACCATGACTACGATATTGGCTTGAGGCTGTTTCTCTGACATGTACCTAACAATTGCCTCCACTCCCCCTGCCACCTGGTCTGCTGTATGTTCATGGTTATTGGTTCCAACTAGAAGCACAATCACCTAATAAAGATCAAGAAACAAACTTAATAAAAATAACTAAATTTCTGTGTACATAACGATGCTACATTATATCCGAGTACAGTGAACAAATCTTTACCTGTGTACCCAAATACACCACAAAAAAAACTAGGTGTAATACTTCTTTCTGTGGACAGACGAGAGTAGCTGGTATTAGTTTACCGGGTAGCTCAGACACCAAGGTACCCTAAAGTTATGTTCACGACAAAACCCGGATTCCGGTCCGGTGGCCGGATTAAAAATCGTGAAAAATGGGTTCAGTGGTAAAGAATAGGACCGTTCACATTAAATTTGTACGATTTCCAATCCAGACTGCTTGATATGAACACAGCGTTCAAAAAACGTAACAACTTGCAAATTTTTGTCTGGGCTCCGGACCAGATCCGGGCTTGATGTGAATGTAGCTTTAGGGAAGAAGCAAGTTACTGTAAGAGCTAGTCCACAACTCAAGCGCTTTGGATTTTGATCCCTCGCAAGGCACTTTATCTGCATTGCTTCTCTCCACCCAGTAATATAAATGGGTACTTGGTGGGGTTGTCTGCTCCTGTGCTGATTATCACTGCAACAGTCACAGCATGTGGACCCAAAATAGCTTTATAACCTTAAATAAGAGGCCCATTATAAATGCCTATACTAGTACCAGTACTGATTCGGTATAAAGCGCTATAAATCCAATTACATTACATATTTTCTGCTGGATTTAGCACAAATACCTCATAATTACAAGCTCTCCGCGTTTCTACACGTAACAAATAGAAGCGTCGATCGTCAGGTAAAAAGATGCATAAAAACATGTTTTTATAGCAAACATTAATTTCACAAGTTTTTATTCTAAAATCATAACACTGCATAGCGGTATCACTCTTTCTATTATGGTACTAGTCACCAGGAACCAGACGTCGTGCAGCAAGTTTTATTTCGACAACGAAAATGAAGCTGCTCGCGTGCCTTCAAGGACTGAAAATCGTTTGTTATTGTTTTGAGTGAAGCGGGTTCAAACGGAAACAACATGTTCCAAACATTGTTAATGAACGAACGTAATATGAAAATAATTATTTAGACAACTCAAACCATACCTGAATGTCTTAGAAACCGTAGTAGGAATCTTAGTACACCACTATGTAAGTATAATTACAAATACTAGGCCTACAAACCAGTCCTACCCTAGGCTAATTAATTGGGCTAGAATGGAACTAACCTAGACAGACGGCGCCTGATTTTCACTGTGGTTCGCGATCTAGAATTTTTTAAAGTAGGTTGATAACCAGTCTACAGGTCGCACCTCAAATTTCTGAGGCATAATCACGTATAAAATTTGCGGCTTATACACTGGAATATATGGTAAGATATGACATCAAAATGCCATATTATACAGTGCCGTAACAAGGAGTTGTTGGGTTGGTGGACGAAAACGTGTTGGGTACATGAATTTCAATAAAGTTACGAATAACGAAGTAATGTCAGTATTGTTAAAGAATATAATTATATTGTGTGACTAAACCACAGAAACAACTTTCATTTCCACACACAAATTTGTCGCATATACTTTGATTGTAAAAACAAAAATTAAAGTGGATTTCTATTTAATTCAATAATGTTTGGCATTTATATACAGCGTACAGCTTTGTACTAAATATCTCTGAGCATTTCCTGCTACAAGTAACTTTAGGCAAGACTTTTTTTATACCTTGTTTAGCGAACCCGCTGACTGCAAATATCGATGATTTTGAATAATGATAAAATTTTATTTTTGGCCAATTAGCGCACCCACCGCCACGAAAAGTGGAAATTTCAGGAAAAAATAGAAGTTTTTCTTTATTTTTATTACGCCCTCCGCTGCCTTGAAATCTTCAAAGATAAGATATGTATATTTCTTTCTAATTATATAAATTTGAAACATTTAACCATCCTATTTTACATTCACCAATAAAATTTTATTTTTATTTTCTCCTCCATCTGGATGTTTTTGGCAAAACTATTTGCTAAATAAGAAAAAAAAATTGTATATTTATTTTTGATTCTGCCCTCCTTCAATGAACTTTTATGAAATAAGTACGCGAAACAAGGAATAAAAAAAAGCCTTGCTTTAGATACAATATAAGCCACAGTGCTCTTATAGATACTTTGAATACCAAATAATTTCACAAATATAAATAATGACTAGAATATATAATATGGTAATGATTACAACAATTTTACCTTAGGGGCAATGTTCTCTAATTCTCCATTTTGTATTCTCCATAGCACATGCTGAGTGGCGTCACCTCCGATGCCAAAGTTGAGGCAATGTAATGGAATAAACAACTCCTTCCAAATCTAAATGAGTAATAAAAGTAACATCTGTTGAATTAATATAGAACATAGGGCATGTTTCTGCTGAGTAATGCCAAAAACACATGGTTTTTAAATAATGGTTAAAGTCCTTTGGAACATGTTTCTAGTGAAAACTGCAACTAATAAAAACATGGTAACGCAAGCATTGGTACGTGGTGGACGGAGCTTATAATGACGATCACCTACGGGATGTTGAGCTTGCTTCCTGTGAGCTACAGTGCATGCTGCGAAACCAGTAAACAACACACCGCAAAAGTATGAAAAAATTATGTTAAGCCTAAAGCATGTCATCCTGTTAGTTCAATTTTTTTCTTCCCCCTGAATTTTGCACGGACGAACGATTGAACCAACGAAGAGGTCGATTTCGGTCACCGACGGGTCATGACTATCACGGTATTGTGTTGCAGCTGAAAAGTGTACCGCAAAACATGTGTTTTCTGAACGCCAACCCTATAACGAATGTGTGTTAAAACACACAGCTTATACACCGGAAATGATTCATTTGTAAAAATGAATTGCCTTTTGTTTAAAATTTTAAAAAACAACCTTTATAATAAAATGAGATATATTATTGTTGCATGCAACGGCTGATATTTCACTTACTGGACATTGTTCCAATAGTTGAATAAGTGAATCACCTATAAACAACACATCTGGTTCTTTTTCATGAGCTTCAGCTGCATACCGATCATGCTGTTAAATACAAAAATACAAACTCATTAGTTTATTTTAAATGAAATTACCACACCAATACAGTTAATAAAACATATTAATAAAAAGATTTTTTTTTTCTTTACATTCTAGGATTTTTATTTTACAATAATTTTACAAACAGTTCATTATCAACCCAAGGCACAATTTTACAAGCACATGTATTTATTTAATTATTATTTAATACCATATTTCAAGAGGGTGACCCATCCAGCAATGCTGATCATTAGGGGCTCTCATACAATACAAGAAAAAAAAACAGTCACTTAATTACACAAATTTATAAAATTCAGATATAAAAGATAATTTGTAAAAATTTGAGATTACATTAATTAAAAATGTTATAAAAAGATAAACAAGATAAAAATTATCTCAGTAATGATAAAAAAGGTTAGTGTTGGCAAAGCTAGGGACATTCACCATTACCAAGATAGCGTAGAGTACCATATTCCTAGCCACTGCCAAATTTTTATAACAATAATAATATTATTTTTATGAGTTTGGCCCAGTCCTATACATACAAGATACAAGATAAATGATTCTTTTATTGTCACTAGTACACAAAATATAAGTAAAATTTGTCTCCCCGATGCAAAAATTAAGTTAGACAAAAATTAAACGAAGGACATATATAGAACACAATATACAAAATGATACAATTATTTTAAAGTTAGTTACTGTAGTTTATCTAATAAAAAAATGTTGAAAAACAGACCAGGTCACACCTATAAAACAGGCTTAACTGGCTGCTACCTAGCCAACATCAACTCCATCCATGATATTAATCAAAATCAGACAGAGATAACATACATAGGCTAGGCTTGCCTTATTTAGGCCGCTAGTCCCAGGACGTCCTAAGCCAGGCCTAGCCTAGGCTAGGCCTAGGAGGCTAGGTTAGCCTGCAGTGGCTTAAAAAAAAGTTAAAACTATATAATTTAAAAAAAAAGATCTGCCTAGCCTAGGTTACCTAGTAGGTAGGGTGCTAGGTAGAGTAGAGTATTAATAAAATAGGTCGCCATTATTTATTCAAACAAATTGCAGTGTCAATAGAAGCTGAATGTTGTAAGCTTGATATGACTGCCTAGGGTAGGCTAGGGCCTTAGGCTAAGAATGCCCCAACAGAGAGAACTGTTTGCAACGGGATGCAGCAAACCGGAAAGGGTAGTGTCCCTGCCCTGCATGCAGCACGCTGTTGCATTGTGCGGGGTTGGCACAATGATGAAAAGGCTAGTCTAAGTAACCTTATCTAATATAAATATCGAAAAGATTTAAGAAAATTCAGAACTTTGCATTAAATAAAATGCTTACGACACTCCTCCAGCGGCCGTCACCTTGCACATCTTGAACAGGTACCGGTACAGCTGCTGAATTTTCACTTCCCACACCCGCCATCTTGATCATTACCTATGTTTTGCATGCTAGAAGTCTAGTCTTTTCTGTCCAGACGCAAAACAACAATACAGCTCTCCCTCTAATTTAAGACCACTTTTCTGTGGTCCCAAATTAACTTTATTATTCTAATTAGAGACCAAAGCTGCCAAAAACTATGGAAATCCTGGTCCCATAAGTGGTCTTTAATTGGTGGGAGACCTGTAATTATACTTATCTATGATCAATCAACTGGTAATCAATTACCCATTCTTTTATGTGCACAAATATTGCACACACAGCCAAAACTTATAGCACTATAGAAACTTGTATTTCAGACTTTCAGCTAGAAATCAAGAATTGCAGAAATTGAATTGAAAATCATCATGATTGTAATCACCATCTGTATTAACATCATCAAAATCCTCATCACCACATTATCACCATGCATCTGTTCTGCAGCAAACGATAAAAATCAAAACATTTGCAGTGTAACTAAAATTTTATTTTTATTCACATATTTTCTTTACACATTTTCATAGAGTTTTATGGACATAAAAATGAGAATCCGTACAGGAGATAGCTGCCTACAGGGCTAAACCACACAAGATCTAACTCAGAAATAGCACAAAAAAGATTACACTGATAACGTAACTCCTTCGCGAGTTTGAAGAAGAAGCAAAATACATAAAGGCTAAAAAAACAATCATTAATGAATTCAAAAATTAAATTTTAAAATCCTACAATCATTCGCAATTAAAACAATTACTCAAGTTTTATATGTAAAAAAAAACAATTTTCAGTTGAAAACAGGGCAAGTACAAAAATGAATCAGTGCGAGGTGTGCCTTGCAATTGAGTCACAATTTAACCACATTAAAAACAGTCAACTAGCTTTGCCAAGTCACTATATTTAATTTATCAAATTCAATCAATAATAAACAACATAAAAACATAAACCCTACTATTGTAGTAAAGGCAACATTTTTCAAATATTGAATGAAATATTCATCTCAATTGTTATAAATTTCAAAAATGAAATAAGTATTAAGTTTAAATTATATATATTCTTCATTTAAATTTTGAACATGATCCAAAATCATTGTAATAGCCAGAGGGCAAAACAACACGATTTCACATTGATTGGTAAATACTTCATGTTGTAAATATCAAATAGTAATTATTGACATCTTTTGATTGAACATTGTTGTGTGTTTGGTTTGATGTAATGAAATAAAATTGATGATAATCATATCATATTGTATATAGCTCATCATATCAAGGTTTTTATGCACTTTATATTAGGATACGTTTGAATGTAGAACCTCAACGTGACCTCAGGAAACATTCACTTGGCCATGAATATCGTACACAGCACACAGCCAAAATTAATTCCTCAAATTCTAAAAGAACAAGAACTCAAATTGTCATGCTCAGATGACTCCATATGACATTATATCCTAGGTCATGCCATCAGGGGTCAAGTTGGGAAGTCGCTTCCATGAGATCAAATGAGCTTTCTTTCTGCGCATGGCGATACCCGTTGGCACTGATTTCCGCGAGACAATTGATAATAAATCAGTAAAAACATGAAAAATATTATGAATTTGCGGGAGATGTATTATTTTCCGGGAGATTCGGGCTTCCATGCGAGAGTGCAGGAGGCCATCCCTATTTCCGGGAGACTCTGGAACCATGTACCATGATCACAAACAAAAATCTCCCTGTTAACACTGTCACTGGATGGAACAATTTGGAACAAATACTCAGCTCCATATGAGGAGAAATCCATAATACTGCAGCTAATAACAATGGTAATATAAACTACTGAGTACCCACTTACATTCTTGGATGGAGAGACCTTGTGGATAATAGGACAAAACCAAGTGTTCTGCTTCAGATTTGAACCCACGACTTCCGACTGGAAGCACACAGTTTCTAGAGTAGCAAAGTATCAACAGAGTATAAATACCTATAACTGTACATGTCTTATAAAATGATTTTCATTTCCAGATAGATTATTACTGTAATATGCATATTAATATAATATATATTATGGTCTTGTTACAGTCTTTATAATTATTTATTCATTCTTATACTCTTTGTTTATATGCACATGGACTCATGTTGTCTGAAACAAAGAATTATGATATTATAGCCAAAAATTAAATAAAATCCCAATAATGAGCCTGTGAGGTTATGAGTAAATGAGTCGGTGGTGCCTCTTATGTGAAGACCCTGAATACACAGCCGTGTAATCTGCGTGTAATTACTCATGTGTAATCTCCACTTGTTTTTATATAATAAATATTCTTAACAACAAGCAATCAATCTAGTCATAGTGTTATCTCTATTACAAAATTGTTCTTTAACACACAGGAATTAATCAATTAAAAATGAAGTAAAGAGTTATATTTTATTCAAAGAACTTACTTCACTTTACTCAGTAATTTATCAACTGTATTATTTACAAAGAAATTAATTATTCTAAACTTTTAGTTAGGAGACTTTCGATTCATTATACCAGTTTTTATTTGATTTCACTGGCAACATAGAAATCCAGCTGCTGTATTATATACAGACGACAAGGTGATATTCAGAAGAATAATGATCAATATAATAACATCCAGATACGAGAATGCTTGTTGACAATTCAGCCAATGAAAAGGCTTGACAACCATCATAAAATAGAGCTCTGCTTTGGCTATCATCTGCAAGTTCTTCAAATGATTCAAATTCACCTCATATTAAATGTTGCCATCAAATTTGTACAAAGTTTATAAGTGGAATAGGGTTTCAATTGGTAATGTCCATAGCATTCTGCTGCACCTGGGCTCTGAGGAGCTGGTTCTCGTGTTTTAGTTCCTCCACCTGCTGCCGCAGAAGTTCTTTATCAACAGAGAGTCGTTCCGTTTCCTTAATGGTTTCAGCCATTCGTGAATTTGCATTGCGCAGATCCTGGATGTAATCTACTGTCTTGCTGAGGATTCCCCCTTTGCTTTGCTGAAATAGTACCAAAAGATGTCTGTTAATATTTTAACTCAAGACAAATTTTTACGCAAAACAAAAATACCTCATCCAACTTCCAGGTTTTTCCAAACAAATATTTGATTTGTTTACTGCATACATCTTCATTAATCAACCCCTCCCTCAATAAATATCTATGCCAACTATAATTTCTAATACATCTAAAGCCTATAGTAAACCAATTTACATTAAAGTTTACACTTTAAAAAATCTGAGAAAGAATCAACTCACCTGTCCCTGCTTTGTGTGGTCCTGGTTGCAGTCAGGCACTAGCTTTGAAAGCTTTACAATCCAATTATTAATCTTGTCCCTACGTCGCCTCTCCACCTCATTGTGTGTGGCTCTTCGGCGCTCATCCCTGGCAGTTCTTCCAGTATCTAACTTTCTGTAATGTGGAAGGTAACTGTCATTATTTCTGTTTTTTATTCAATAATTATTGACTATAATATCATTAGCAACATAATGACCATCATCTTCATAAGATAATTAAAGCAGTTATCTACGCGTAAATTATTATTTCAATGGATCGCCCCAGCAGGCCTAAAAAAAATATTTTTGTGCCTCCAACCATGAAAATTATCTTGATCAAATGCCTCCATCACCAAATGTTATACACTATTATAGCTAAACAGTTAGCACATTTAGTGGTTTGGAGCAAGAATAGATATCAAATTTAATTACTGGTATGCATTAAATTGTGATGTGTAAAAAAAAAAAAATAAAAAAAAATTTTTTTTTTTTCTTTAAATGCCTCCAGGGTAATGGTCAATGCCTCCGACAGGTGCTCGCGCGGTTGCACACTTTTTCCTGCATCCCAGAGTGTCAATCAATGATCAAACTGACAAATCAGAACAAGGCCAGGAACACGTGATTGTCCCACAAACATGTTATCGCACAAATCTTGTCAACAATATCCAATGGGTGGGGCTTAGAGGAAAGTTCCATTCTCAGCAACAATATTCCAATAATGCCATTTCATCAGGAAATTGCTTCTTTATAGTCATGTAAAGTTTAATTGAAACTAACGATTAAAATCCAAACATTATCAAAACAATTTTTATTATCTGATGTAGCTACAACCTCTAATAATATTAAATTACAAATATTAACGAATCTGTTTGTTTGATCTGGCGACAATTAAATAATGAATGAGTGAAGGCCAACTGATTACTAAGTTTGAATCAGGATGAGTACAGCAGAGTAAGATAACAAAGGGTGTGGCCAAAGTGCACCAATCGGCAATTATATCAAAGTGAGTCATCAACACAACTTGCTCCATCCTAGCAATAATTGTGAACATGAAATGAGAATAGGTGCCCTATTGTGATTATTAATGAGTGGAATAGCAAAGTAGTGATAAATTATAAAACCAATGTATTTTGCTTTCCTAGAATTAACAATAACAAGAGTTCCAAAAATTAATTAGAAAATATAATGTTTCAATTTAGATTTGGTGGCCCCGCCCTTTTAAAATTTAGTTTAGATGTGATTTTTTTGTTTAACTTCAATTTTGGAAGAACTTAAGACCATAAAAATTAATAGGGCTAACTATTACTTTTAGCAAAATGATTCTGCCACAAGCATAAAGGCAGAGGGGGAAAATTAAAATTTTAGTACATTATTAAATGTAAGAGTACAGAGAACAAATAATAGATAGACACTCAAGTACTCACACGAGATCATATCTTGTGGATGTATAAACTTAATTTTTGATATCATATTCGTCAAATAATGTGGTTCCTAGCCACTATTGCTAAAGAGGTGTATCCAATGTTTTTGATACTTACGGAGTATACTGCGTCCTGGGAGCAATTGTTCTCTGAGTCGCATTCTGTAACACGTCTTGAGGTGACATCATCACATAAAATTGACCTAAATGACAAAACACACAAGAAATTTGTCATCCCTGCGATATAAACCAGTTATTGTGATGGTAGTATTGCGCTAATTAAGTTATGCTCTGATAAGAAACTTATAGTACTCAAGACATTGGCTACTGTAAATGTGTCATTGCTAATTAACATGCTATGGCTAATTAACATGCTATGGCTAATTACCATGCTACGGCTAATTACCATGCTATGGGTAATTAACATGCTATTGCTAATTGTGTTATGCTCTAATAATACACATGTACTTTAAAATAATAATTTTTTTTTAAAGCAGATCTTTTTATTGTAACTGCCAAGATGATCTTTTGGAGGATTTGAACCCATTACCACCCTGGGAAAAGGCCAGGCACCTATGCCAATCTACCATTAATTCCACAAAATAATCAAATAATTAAATAATATTATTAATAATAAGAATAAATGCTTTTGCTTTAATCCATTACTTTTACAATTAAATTTAATGTATAAAATGAAAGCCTACCTCCTGCTTGAGCAATGGATCCCTCCGAGTTTGTGGACGCTGCTGCTGATGTCCCAGATGATGCGATACCGTCGTTATTGACAGCTGCTGCTGGAAAGTATGTAAACCTCGTTTCGCCGGTTTGTGTTTCTGAGTTTGGGCTGTCGCCATTGAACGGACTCTGGATAACAGCCTAAAAATAAAGAATTGGTAAACAACATTTTATATCTGCAAACAAAATATAGACTTAACTTTTCTCCAAAATTTACTTTTTTAAAGATGTGTTTTATTGTCTTTAATTAATGTTTTTAATTGTTTAATTTTCCTTTGTGTCAATCAAATTAATTTACTTCTTTCATTTTTCGTCTTTTTTGAAAAACTCCTTATATAATTTTTTTTCCTTTTGAAGAAAATAATTTTAGTACATGAAATGTTACCAGTAGTGCTATGACTCTGCACTATTATACTGATGCAACATACTGTATTTTTAAGAAGGAAACAACTCTTTGCAATAACAAATTAATAACAGGTAACAACAGGCATTCAAAAACTCGTGAAGATGTGAAAGATAATACAACAGATATTTTGGGTTACCCTGATGAATAACTATGCTTATAAATAATTACATATTATCATCTTTATGATAGAGCATAAAGATGAGGTTGCCAATTTCCAATTTCCCAGTTTTTCTTTTCTACCGACACTCAGTTATGAACAAACAGGAACATCCGTAAAGTAAAACAAGTGTGTAGTTTGAATCATCACCACATACAGTAGTCAGTGTCTCCTGTTGTGATGCTTATTACTCATACACGCACACTGACGCATATACAGTACCTAATAGGGTCTTCTGTCAGTATAGATTCAGATTCAGAAGTCTCAAAATATAATACTGAACTAAAAATAATATCCCAAATATACTGTTAACAATATCCTTCCAGCTGTTTGTTCCTTTATCACACAAATCTCTTAGTTAGAGGTTTTCAGGTATAGTAAGATTTTTTTCTAATCTGATTTATAATTCAACAATTTATAGGTTTAAAAGTATATCTTCTGGATCTTAAATCCCTACCCCAAAACTTTGAAATTTCTAATATAAGTAAGTGAATTTTTTGCTCTTTTAATTAATTCTATATTTGGAATCCTAACCCCAAAACCTAAACTCTGGAATGGTGTCCAGCGGGGAATAGGAGTGATTTTTTACATATTCATTTTTTTTTAAAAATAATTTATTTAACTCGCATAGTATATGAACCCTATAGCTCTATCACACTATCAAATTTTATGTGACAAATAACTGTGATATGCCCATATTTGGTGTAATATGACAACATCATGCCCATATTCGGGCGCATTATATACATTTGTCACTATAAAATTTGATAGTGTGGACAGACCTTAAGTGTAACAATTTAAAGCTCTGTCCTCACTATATAATTTTTGATTTGCCCATGTGTATGAGAATGGTGATGTCATATCAAATCCATATTAGTAAATCACTAACAAATCACAAATTAGCTGCATAATGTTGGTAAATATCGTATCAGTATTACTGTAGGTACATCTAGCTTACCTGTGTGACAGCCTGCTGTCCTTGAGGGAAAGACGTAGTCGTTACAACATTCATTGCGTTAGGACTACCTCCATCATTTACTTGTACTACACGGTATGTCACCTGACCTTGTCCGTTGTTGTCCGTACGAAATTGATACTGAATATTGTCACCAAAATTACTTCCTGGCATTACTGGTGAACCGTCATCAGCGCCACTGACACCGTTATCACCTGAAAAACACAGAATCAAGATATTAACACAGAGCTGTCAAGATGGATTTGATCTACCTAGACAGGAAGCGGTTTTAAAATGAAAAATTTATACAGTAGTGTAATTACACTCAGCTAGCTAGTTGGTAGTTAAGTGTTAAACACTAAAAATTTATGTACAATAGTTTAAGATAGCTTTTTAAATAAAGTATAAACAGAAGTAAGTTTGGTCTGAACTATTAGTTTAATAGCAAATGTGGAAAATTGAATTTTTTACAACTAAACAAGTTTAGAATAAAATACACCTTGATTCATGAAGAATACACCCAATATCCAAAGTTACCTTAAAATAAACCTCTTAACTTTAAAAATTCAAAATACTTATAGCTACTTTTTTTCTCTTTACTCTCCTCAAGTCATTTATCATATCATTTTATTTCGCCAATATAAAAACAATAGAGTCTATGTGGCAGGATTGCTCAAATGCAAGAAGACTTGCCACCGAGAGGCTTGGCTCATCCATAGTCCAACAACAAACTAAAATACAAAACTGCTTTAAAGTTGAAACAATTCCATACTGCAAGTATTCAAACTGTGAAAAGCTAAATACATCAATATAATTAAAACTGCTCATAGGCTACAAAATCGTTAAACAATACTAAAAAACTGTAAAAACGTTAATCATCTATATTAAAATGGAACAACATTATCAATATTATTAGGGTCATTCCAACTCACATCAACTAACAGCCCACACACTTTTGTCTTGGATTCACTTATATTTGTTATCAAATAATTATACCATTCATATAAACAGATCTGAAGTTTGAACTTTGAAATTCATAGGCCCAAGTTGTTCCGAGATATGGGCATTTTAGTGAGGGTGGTCAGCGCAAAACTTAGCCAAAAATGCAACATTTTTGTACCGTTTTCAGAAGTCAATATATCAGGAAATAATCTACTTTAATCTGAATTTGTTGCCTACTAAAGCAGGTTAGAGTTCTGATATAACAAGAAATCATGGGTAAGTAGTGTTCCTAAAATTCTGAGATGCACCTTTACGAGTGACCATGTTTGAGACCCAAAAAAATATACTTGCTTTCACCACAACCCTTCAATTGTTTTTCTCTAATACTGTATTATCCATCCCACTGGCTATATAATCCATAAATATCAGAACTACATATTCATAAATTATGGAGTCAGACCCTTCTGAAATCAAAAAAAGTGTGTGAGTAACCATGTTTGAGATCCAAAAATATATACTTGCTTTCACCATAACCCTTCAATTGTTTTTCTCTAATACTGTATTATCCATCCCACTGGCTATATAATCCATAAATATCAGAACTACATATTTATAAATTATGGAGTCAGACCCTTCTGAAATCAAAAAAAGTGTGTGAGTAACCATGTTTGAGATCCAAAAATATATACTTGCTTTCACCACAACCCTTCAATTGTTTTTCTCTAATACTGTATATCCATCCCACTGGCTACATAATCCATGAATATCAGAACTATATATGCATAAATTATGGAGTCAGACCCTTCTGAAATCAAAAAGTAGATGTACCAAATTTTATTATCCTTTATGATATTCCTTCATAGTATATTGAATTTTTTAATATTTCACTATTTTACTACTCATGAATTGCCAACCACACTAAAATGCACATACTGTATCTGGGAGCGACTTTGACATACAAAGTTCAAGTTCTTCAGATTTGTTCATACGATTGAGAAATATTTGATAAAAATTTGAAGTGAATCTGAGACAAAAGTGCATAGGGAATTTCAAAATTTGGTTGATTTGAGGTGGAATGACCCATTAACAAACTTGGTTATAAAATTATTTTATACCATGTATGATGATAGAGAAAATAAGTTAATAAAATCAGAGATATTAATCTTGAATATATTTATAAAAAATAACCTGCTGGTCTGTTTGTGATTGGCTTACATAAAATGAGGTGAAAACCAATCCCATAATGATCACTACCATATATACCAGGACAATATTCCAGATTTTTGATAACATTTACATCATTAGAGTATACTTGATCAATAGTAGTGGAAACACCTGAAACAGAACACTGTCTAGTAAAAAATTTAATTAATTGTTCAGCATTTACAGAGTCCATGATGGAAATAAACTTAATTTTGGTAGGACTTATAGTATCATTGTAGTCAAAATTCAAGTCTCCTGTTAAGATGATAGCCTTATAGATGGCGAGGTCAATTAAAATTTTGGTAATGCAATGTTCAAACTTAACGAAGAAATCAACTTTGGATTTTGGAGGACGGTATAGACAGCCAAGAAGATACTTTCCTTTAATAGTGTGAAT